AAAAAAAAAAAAAAAAAAAAAACATACTGAGCTGGAGCAAGTTTGGCGTGTGCCCACGGTTAATGTAGTCGGCCCTGAACCCATCAATCGATATGACGATGACGGTGGAGGCGAAGAAGTGGGTCCCGTTCGACACCAGCCTTGTCGGATCGTAGGGTTGCACGATCAGGGAGTAGGGGGTGGGAGCGTAGGGCGCAGCGTACTGGTCAAGCAGCTTGCGGACGATTAGAATGGTCAGGGCGGTGACCATGCCGGCAACGAGGACGAAGAAGAGGATGAGGCGGAGGAGGGCGCGACGCCTCTGCGCGCGGATCTGTAGGAAAGGGAGTATATCAGCTCTGCGATGATGCGAAACATGCGGGAGGATCTCCGACTGGGGGCCGGCACGTACATAAGAAGGTGTGAAGAACCTTGTCCGGATTAAGTTATCCAGCTCTTCGTTATTAAGCAGCCCGTCCACCTCAGCATCGGACCCGCGACGCATGAAAAGCGGCAACGGCACTTTTAGTTTTTCAGACGACGGCGTTAGTTTTTCAGGCGACGGCGCAGCAGCCATGATGGTGTAGGGTAAGAGTGGGGTTCTCGCGTTCGCCCGAGGGCAGCATGGCGTGTGTGATTTTAAGGGCCATCTGCAGCACCCGAGCTGTCAACGAAATCACGGGGGCTCGGTCCATACTGAGCCACGTGTCAAAAGCAGTCGGCCGAAAGTCACGCGGGCGAATCTCGTGTTTGGACCGATCCGAGGCTTTGTTATAAGATCTGTTCTATTTCCATACCAACAAATCCTAAGGTGGCCGGTGGCTGGGTATTGTTTTGTGCCTCGCTTAATTGCCGCCTGCATACATGGTCTGTGCTAGCATTGCATTGCCGTCTTGCCGGTTTGCTAGATACGGACGCCGCTCGAAAGATAAAAATTCTGCTCAGTGAAGGTCACGTGGATGTAGTGAAGCCATGAATTATATCTATTGAATTAATTTAAAATATACAACATGGAGAGATGGCCGAGTTGGTCTAAGGCGCCACGTTAAGGCCGTGGTCTCTTCGGAGGCGTGGGTTCGAATCCCACTCTCTTCAATTTTTGCCGTTTAAAACACGGCGAGTAGTAGTAGCTTTTGCCGGTTTAAAACTCGACGAGAGTAACTTCTTTTTTTCCCAACACTGGCAAATTTGTCTTTGCTATCGAGTACAAACAAGTACACATGGTCCTTGGACGCAAGCATTCTCGTCAGTTTATTTACATCTATCTATATCTCCCATAAACGTATTGGTTTCGGTCCTATTTTTAGCGTACAAGGTTAGGTGAGAAAATAACGTGCCAAGTATATATCGTTCTCCGACATAAATAGCCAAGCCAAATGCTTTCCTGTTCTTTTAGCCGATGGTCCGGGTACCATTATCTAAGACGCCGTCGCTTGCGTTTGTGTATCTCATTCCCCTGTCGTTGATAATCACGCTTTCTGGTGAAAACGCCAATCCTTGGCCCGCTGCTCCTGTTTCAATACGCCACACCGCTTCGAGAAGTTGAATATCTCCGGGGTACCGCGGCAGAGGTATGCAAACAAGTAGTTTACAGTCCAATGGTTCGAACTAGGTTGGAAAGGATAGGAATAGCTACCGTGTAATATGCGCCCTTGGCGTCCAATCTGTTATGCAGCCCCCGCTCGCAGGTGGGGCAAATTTGGACTGGAGTTTATATACGGTTCGAAGTAGAGGAAAGCACGGAAGATTCGGAAGAAACAAATAACAAACTTAACAGAGTCGTTTGATTGGATTGCGTCGACGTGATTTCGGGCGAGGCCGCATGTTTTGGCCTCTCGAACTTCTGGAACGGACCACACTTTTCGTATTATTAATACTGTGGGTTAAAAATCGAATAGCCATAAACAAAATCGATGTCGCCCACAAATATCTATTTGTAAAATTAGATTTGTTTACAGCTATACGTTTTGCATCCCGTTGTATATCTCGACACCCATGGCGGAACATTCGGTACCTTCTTTTTTTTACCAAACACGTGAAATGAGCATACCACCCCCTTTTGCACTCCACGTTACTTAACATATATAACATACCTGGCTTATATAAGTGTGAGCAAAATAAAAAACATTGGTCGACAATACAGTATCTTCAGAAAGATAGACATTACCAGAACTTGATAAAAAAAAGACATTACCAGAACTCCAGGTGGTAAATTATCAATATTATATTAGAATACTATCAAATAATATATAACAGTGCTTCCTAGAAAATAAAATATCAGATAAGAGCTCAATTGATTTTTTTTTTTGAAATAAATATATATTTAGTATATAGTGATTAAAAATAATTATTATTTAAAAGAAATACTATATTATTTTAAATTAAAACTTATAAAGTAAAAAATATATATTATATAGTTTTTTAGTTTTTAGTTTTAATATTTATATAAATAAGATAGTTAAATAAAAATACTTATAATAAATAAAATAAAATATTTAAAAATAAAAAAAGAATATATGTTTATTAAATATTAACTTATATTAATTTAGTACTTTAATCAAAATAAATAAAGATAAAAATAAACAATAATAATAATAATAATATATTATTATTAAATAGTCTATAATTTATGTAACTTAAAGTTTATATTTCTTAGCTTATTGACATCTGTAGATATAATTACCGAGCTCAAAGATTAATACTCAAACATATATCTCTTCAGTTAAAGCATTTGCTTAATTTTTATAAATAATATAAAAATTTTAACCAGAGCACTCAATCTTATTGTTTAAAAATAAAAAAAAAGAGGGATAAGAAAAAAGTCACTGTCAGCTATAGTTTACACATAGTGTTTACATCATTGTGCGGTTAAACGAAACCAGGCTTAGCCTCTCTTTATGCGTTACGACTAAGCCGCACAAGCCGCAAGCGGCGCAAGCTGCACAAGCCTCGCAAGCTGCACAAGCGTAAGCCGCAACCGTGCAGCTGCAGAAGCCGCGCCCCAAGCCATGCCAAAAAAGTAGTAGCTAGTGTTGTTTGTTTGGCCACCACTCATTTATATATATCTTCACCGTCAGAGCATTTGCTCATTTTTTTTATTAACAAATCAGCCAGAACTCAATCTTGTTGATTGATGGATAACTACACGGTTTATAGCTGAAATAAGGTATGGAATGACAGTATTATATTTTTTTTAGACCAAAAAAAAAAAATTCTGATTGCTGAGCATTTGCTTTATTCAATCCAACCCATTGTTCAAATTTTTTCGACACTGCGCTTGCCCAACCTTACGTTATTTATACTCCGGTAGTGCAATAAAGCCAAATCAAATATATAGTATAAAATGTATGTGTCAAACCAAAGTATAGTTGGTCCCATTCATAGGTATGTCAAACCGCATCCTCAGAATAAAAACAAATGGCCATCCCTTCCACATAATCACCTTCCTATCCATTCAACGCCTACTGTTTGCGCCCCTCCACCCACCGCCCACAAGTACCCGCCGTGGGCCCAGGTGGCGATCGAGATTCCTGTCGTGTCTGGGAGGAGAATGAAGTCAAAAGTGGTGGCCAGGCGCCGTGATTAGTTGGATAGTGCGTCCATGGTGGAGCATTGTATATTCGTGTTCTCCGTGTTAGACTACATTGATACCATACCATCAAATATTTAAACGGCTTGTGGCATTGAATAATGAAACACGACCTTCTCGGGTTTGGTGATTGAGGCTCCACCTCCAATCCTTCGGCCAGTTTCTACATCACCTCTGTTTCTACATCCCCGTCCTCGCCAAAGCTGTCAAAGAGTACGACAATGGTCGCCAAGCGCCACACAATACCTGGTGAGCTTTGGGCGAGAGATCAAATCTTTTCGAGCAGCCAAATGGTCAACGGCATAGAAACTTCGTTACTCTTTTTAATTATTAGTAGTCTGAGATACCTTACTTAATAATATATTTAAAAATAGTACAATCTGATTATAATTTATAAAGTCTAAATAGATAAAATAATGTTTGCAAAATTATTAACTAATATAAAACCAATTTCAAAGATATAATCTTGAAATAGAAATTTAAAGAAAAAGGACTTAAATATAGAAATAATGAAAAGAAAATTTTATCTTATTTATAAAATATTAATAGAAAAATTTAAAATAGAAAGTTAAATATAAAAATATTAAATATATAAATTATTTATTTCACTTTTTTAATATATATCTATAACTTTAAACCAAGATATGTATATAATTATTTATATAATTAATTATTTATATAATTAATTATTTATATAATTAATTGTTATCTTTTTTAATAAAGTAATTTTATATTTAATATTATTTTATTATAAATTAATAAAATAAGAAAAATGATATAAATATATATTAATCTATTATATAGTTACTACTTTTAAATAATTAAATTTAAATTTAATTTATTTATTTTTTATTAAAATTTAAAATATAATATCTTATTCAAATCAAATTGAGAGTCCAATTTAAACCCTATTTTTAGAAATATAATAACTCAATAAAAATATGTCCAAATTTAACAATCTTTAGCTTGTTAGATTTATTTTATATAGGAAAATTTAACAAGCTAAAGATTGTTAAATTTGGACATATATTTATCAAATTATTATATTTTAAAAAATAGTACTCAAATTGAATTTTGAATTAAATTAGCATTTGATTTGATTCAAATTGAATCAAATTAGACCTTTGATTTAATTCATTGAGAGTACTATCTATATCTGTATAAATTATATATCTATAAAATCTGTATAATTGTAAGATTTATATAATTATACTTTTTATATAATTATATATTATTATATAGTAGGCACTAAGTTCTTCAAATATATTAGATTCTCTTCAAGATATATCTCTTAGACTAACTATAAGTTTGTTATAAGCAAGTTCTTATTGGAGTACCTTCTTAAAGTCTTATAGTTCTCAAACTTCTTATATATCTTTAAACTATCTTATTATCTCTTAGATTGCTTATATAGAATTGAGTATAAGTAAACTGAGAAGACTGACTTTATTTCAAAGAAAATAAGAGAGGTATTTATATAAAATATAATTTAATAGTTGCTAAGGTATAAAGCTAAATATAAATTTCAATAACTAAATAAAATACTGATATATAGAAAACTTCAGTTATAAGTACAAATTCGAGTACCTGTATAGATAGTTACACAAGTTCAGGATGCCAGTAGATTTCAGTTATATAAGAAAAGGATACTGGAAGAATTTCTGAGTTATATAAGATTAGAATGCTAGAAGAATAATAGTTACATAAAGAACTTAGAGCAGAATATTCAGAATCCTAAGGACTTCATCGTTATTACTGCTAGAGATCAGGATGTCTTTAAAGAAAATGAGGTTGGTGAATATTTTGTCTATTTTATATATATTACCAATTAGCAGAATGATGTCATCACTAATGATATTATTATATTTGATAGTAGTGGAGAGAGCAAAGAGATCAGGGTATCTCTTTCTTTACTATTTTACCAGTCATAATAGTTTGGTAGGCAACTTTCTGAGTTCACTTTCTACAATTATTACCCTCTCTACCTTGGGTTGGTTTGCTATACCTATTGCAAAGCAGTGGAGGGGAGGCAATGGTAATAAGTTGCTCCTTTATTAGTGTCAGATCAGTGTCTTCTCTACTTTTTCACAGTTTCTGATACCTTTGGCTGCATCTGGAGTATATCCATTTTAGTGTAGTACCTTCTTCCTTTTGCTGTCACTAACAAGATACTATCTCAGTATATCATGGACTATATAGAGAGTCAGCTGACCTTGGGTGTCAAGTGCTCAGTATAGGTTACCTGTAGATCCTCAGTACTTGTAGTAGGGCTCTCTGACTTTGACAAGCTTCCCAGCAAGCATGGTTCTGATATAAGTGACTGCTTTTCAGATGTTGTCAGGATGGAAGAGGAGATGGCCATTACAGATAGGAGAAAGGATGATAACAGTAAACCAGTAGGGTATCAGGCTGAGGGCAGTCATTGGGGCTGGGGCAGATGCTGCTTTGGTGGGGCCTTTTGATTGGTGTAGAGTAGTTAGGTAGTAGGTATTACTCTCAACTTCTT